CGGCCTATTCTGGATTTCTCTATGTAAGCAGTAAATTGTACGGAGAAACTGACCCCTGATTGGATCAGAAATGTTTCAGAAAATTGTAATTACGGAGAATAGGAACGGTGCAGATCTGTGTCGTTCATGTTTTTCGTAACAACCATAGGCCACGACTCGAGTCACGGCCTATGGCGAAATAAGAACGCAACCACGTGCCGTGCAACAGGCCAAGCCAGCCGCGCTAATTAGCGAGCGTTGCAGTATGGAACACACGTGATATTTTTGCTTACGCATGCGGCGGGTCGAGCATTCGATAGTTTCCGCAAGGGATTCTTACGCACAAAACGGCCAAAAAACCACCGTCACGCCGCAGGCTGAAGGTTTCTGGAACGACCTTCACGATTTGGCACGCGGTAGGGCGAAATTTTCTGAAACGCTCAGGGCACCTAATAAGTAAGGTGAGTTTTTGATAAGGGAAAAACTGTGTTCGCAGGCTGTTACTCAACTGTTTGTTTTCCAAACCGACTATCTTTTTCTTCATACTACCCGTCCAACTGTTCCACGTAGCTTTTACGTAGAGAACTTCTAAATAATTATAGCTTTTCTGGCACAGGACAGTTTCCGCTAACCTCAGTTGGGTAATGAAGCGAAAAAGGCTGAATACTTAACTATTACTTATTTGCCAAGGGTGATAATTTGAAAATGTGTAAAAGCAATCTGAAAATCGTGAGCTATTTAGAATTCCCTCTGTTAGTAACTTTGGAAACCAATGGCTCTCGAAATTGCTTTTCAAGATCAAGAGGGGTATAAGTTCCACATGAAAAACTACATGTGCTTACGTGTTTGCGCTACTTAAAGAGAATGTCGTAAGAAATGCAAATAGCTAGAAATTACGATTCGGTGATATTGCAAATCACCGATTCTCAAAGTAATTTCAAAGACTTTTGTTGTTCAACTGAGATGTAGAATGACAACGTAGAGTGCCCACTAAGCGCTTCGCTTCGCAAGCGTGGTTGAGACAATTGGTCATAATAATGCTCCTTTGTACAGTGAAATTTATTGGTATCGTTCTTCATTAGCAAAATAACCAGACTTTTCAACTCCCTTTAAAAGCCTCAGATGCATGCCAGAGTTCTGAATATAACCAGTTATCCGTCATTCCGGTGACAACTCACAGGAGACTAAAAGTATAGAATAGTGAATTATTACTCCGAACACTGCTGGCACATGAACTAAACACTTAAAAAACGCTTAAAGCTTATACTGAGGAAAAAGGTAATTCCAATGCCATGAAAATGAAACCTTTCAGAAAAGTATACGCTATCGCTGACCAAAAACGTCATTTTACTGATGTTTTAGATTAATGCTCGAACCCATCATCACAGACAGCCTCAGCTAAAAGCAATTAATCTACAAAGAGTTTCAGTATGTACAGGATGTAGTCGCT